ATTCCTCCTCCCCCTCCCTCTGCATCGCTAAGATGCTTTTTGGGCAAAGCGAACGGAACCCCCGCCAAACTCAGGGCAAAGGGCTGGGTGAGGGCAACGGCTTCACAGAGGCTTCACTGCCTCGCCGGGCATGCGTACGCGCTCGGCACATGCTCATTCGGGCCGCACGAGGGGCTCTGGGCATGTGCAGAAGCAAAATGGGTACATTCTGAAGCAGGGCAATTTCAGCTATGACACCTGCAGCATGTGCCAGGAGCTGCAACGGCAGCAAAAGCGGCGGCGGCGGCGGCGGCGGCGGCCGCCTGTGCGCGGTGGATCTTCGTCTCTTCAGAGCGGTAAGCAGCAGCAGCAGCAGCAGCAACAGCAACAGCAGCAGCAGCAGCGAGCAGTTGGGTCTCTGTGCGCCCCTCCTGCTTTGCCCTGCGTTTCAGTGGGTGCATGGTGACCTTACAGAGTGTGCATTACCTCACAGGTAAATATCAGCTGATCCGCTGTGACAGCAGCAGCAAGAGCAGCAGGAGCAGGAGAAGCCAGCGATCCACAGAGCTTTTCTGGAGGTAGCAAATTCATTCATTCGTTCGTTCATTCATTCCTTCGCTCAGTCTGGCCCCTCATCGTCCCCCACCCTTTAAAAAAATCTGTTTGCTCCATTCATCAGCCAGAGGCTTGGCCAAGGATGCTGGGGTCTCCATTATGGATGGCTCTTTTCTACTGTGTGCAAGTGGGGACGGGGGGGGAGAGGGGGGAGATGAATATTTCTCATCCAATATCATTGCAATGCACTGCAGTATCAGTGGAAGTGCCTTGGATGTGTGGGTGGCTGGGTGGGATGCAGGGTTTTTTTTTTCATTTTCCTGTGAGGAGGGGATCCAGCCTGTTGCCAGTCTGGAGATATGAGAGTCCCTGATTTGTGTGTATGTGTGTGAGTGTGTGTGTGTAGAGAGAGGGAGAGACAGAGAAGAGGGGGAGAGAAGGGGAACTAAGAACTAGCTTTATTGGGTTTTATTATTGTTGATTCCTGTTTCCAGTGTTGTATGAGAGAGAGAAGCCAGAGTTTCTCATTGCCAATAGGAAAATGTAAAAAGTGGGGCCAAATGTAACACAGCTAAATGAAGAAGGGGAGATTGCACTAGTGATAACTTGAGATGAGCAAGTCTGGCGATGGGCGCTTCCTTTTTTAGCAGCATCAGGGACCCTTGTTGGCATCCTTCATTTCATTACAAAGCTTGCCAAGGTATGCATTGAATGCACTGATATGGTGAGAGAGGCAGTGTGTGTATGTGTGTGTGTGTGGTGCCTATGTGTGTCCTGAGGAGCTCAAGCAATTATATATACAGGCCCATGATGACATCATCTCTTTGACTTTTGCTGCTCTTCAGTCTTTGGGAGGTTGGTTCCTTTTTCATTACTATAATTATGATTGTATATGAGCCTAATGAAATGAGGTCTTGCTTTATTTGAGATAGTATACTTAACGGTATGTTGCATTTTATGATTTTGATATAATTATATTACATTCTAGCTCAGGCTTATATAAACCCAGGGTGTGCAGACAAGAGCGTATGGCTCCTGACATTGTGCAGTGATTTTGTTTGGACTCTCATACTTGCTTCAGCATTTATAAGATATGCTGTGGATTTAATATGAATAATTCTGCAGCAGTAACTTGGTATAAAGTGTCAGCTTCCTTTATATAGAGAAATTAGCTGTATGAAGAATGGTTGTAATTGATGGTAGTTTATGCCTTTCAATAGCCTTTGCTCACTTGCCTGCCCATTCACAAACTTCAGATGCTTGTTACAGGTATTTGGGCTGTGCAGGTTTTCTTAGAAATGATAGAGAAATTCTTCTTCCTTAAAACTGTTCAGCATACAGTACTTCTAAAAATTAAATGTTATCAAAAGGTGCTATGATCTCACACACTTCATAAATATGCATTAAGAAGCCCTTCACCAGAATTAATGATATTTTGTGCAGCATTTAAAGATATTTGTGAGAACAGATGTCACCAAATAAATTTTTAACTCTATCAGTGATCAAGGGAATTTTGAAAGACTTATGAAAAAGCAGGACCCGTATTGATCTGATCCTGAATGTAGATCAAGTCACGAGCTCAAACAAACTCTATTCTCATTGTGTTTTTCTTGTTTGTAAAAACATATTTGCAGTCTGTTTTTCAATCTGTAATTCTAAGACATGTGCAGCATGGTCTTATCTGTGTTTCCTCAGAAGCAGGTCCTCACATCTGTAGGAGGTCTATAAACCTCTGTAGGACTCCTGATGGAGGCAGCATCCTATCTGGAACTGACACCACTGTGATAAATGGAGTAACAATTGTGTATAAGATTGCAGTTCTTATGCTTTTAGCCCTTTCATTTCACAGCAATTCAATGTTAGGTTTTGAAAGTTTCAGTCGAAGTCTGAACATACCACTTGGACAGATCCAGTGGAGGCATTTGTGAACCTTAGTAGACAGCTTTTTAGTGGAAAGTAGTTTTTGGTCAGCTTAAAAACTGGCAAGCTATATTTGGAATAAGGTTTTGCTGATTTATGCCAAAACAAAACAAACAAACAAAACCAAAAACCTATTAGCCTTTAAGTTGCCACAGGACACTTTGTGATTTTGCCACACCAGATGGTCACTATGCCCTCGAAGCAAAACGCTGAAAATGGTGGCCACAAGTCAGAATTAACTTGATAGCACATAGTTATTATTATTACTAGTAATAAGCATAGAAGGGATTGATACTGTATAGGAATACTGAGAGAGAGAAAGTAGCTGTGTCGATCTTATACCTATACTCCTAGAAGAGCATCAGTATTAGAAAAAAATATAGATACCTGTGGTGCCTGAAAGTCTATAAGATTTCAGTGTAAAGCCCTGCTTCATTAGACATATAGAAAAGCTGTGTCAGTTAATTAAGTTCAGTAATGGCTGCAAATAAAAAATTCATTGGTTCATGTGCTTTTTGCTTCAGAACTCCATTATTGGATTATTGAATATCCTGTTACAAGAGACACCAATGTCATTTTTACAAAAACTAGTGTCAAACTGGCCATTTAATATTTATATTCAAAAAATGCACCTTAGAATTTATGTGTGATTGACAAATAGTGCCAGAATATAATTTAAACATTCTTAGGCACATAACATTATTTGTGTCAAATGACGTATTTCCAGTTTAACAATAATGCCACCCTTTACCATCTCTTAAGACTATGGCAATCTACTGTCACAACCTTGAGTACGTTCCTGAATCTATCCAAAATTCCTGAATTTTGGATGGATTTCCTGAATCTATGCAGTATTCACAGTAAATGCACTGAAAAATATGTACATGAATAGGAGTGAATGTGTGGAGCACCTTATAAGTTATAATTTAAGTACCTTGCACCTTGGGTGAATGAACAGTGGGTTCATAGCCATGAAAGGAAAGTCAGAGCAGAGATTGCCTCAAGCAGTTTCTTTGAGATGAAGAAAGTAATATGCGACAAAAAGTTTAAACTGACTTTGAGTATACACGCTGGGAGAAATCCTATTGCCCAGCTTGACATGAGCTATGGTGATGATATCATCAGCAGTGATTAATTGCTGATGACTAAAGGCAAATCACTAAAGGTGATTTTGGGGTGCACAGGACTTGTCCACAATGTGACAGTCACATCCCTCCAAATCAACAAATGAAGCCTTTGATTACAGTGATTTGCTATCGCTGGTGACATAATCATTGTTGCATATATGGAGCTGTGCAATAGGATTTTAACTACTGTGCAGTGTTAAGAATTCTTGGTTGCACTATAAAAATGTAATCATGGAATTTAACATAAGCAACTCTAGCAATGGTAGAAGCATTTGAAATGTGAATTTATCAAAGAAATATTAAGGCAAATGAATAAAGACCAAGAAGTCATAAAACAGAGAAGGCAGAAAGCTATAATACTTTAATAACTTAATGAGAAATGCAGATGACAGGTGATCACTCTAAGATACAATAAATGGGAAAAGAAACTCAAGGAGGCAAACTTACTGAGAATCTGGCATAATGCAACACATCATTGTTAGATTTGCTATATCTCATGTAAAAATGGCCATGCTGACATCTACAGTGGACCCTCGACTTACAGAATTAATCCGTATTGGAAAGCTGGCCGTAGGTTGAAAAGTCCGTAGGTTGAGGGTCCATTTCCCATAGGAATACATTGAAAAGCCATTAATCCATAACCGACCGAAGAAAAAAATACCACCCCCCCACAAAAAATGAAAATAAATAAATCTTACCGGTCTGAAGCCTTCTGGGGGGTTGGAAAGTCCGTAGGTTGAGGGTCCATTTCCCATAGGAATACATTGAAAAGCCATTAATCCATAACCGACCGAAGAAAAAAATACCACCCCCCCACAAAAAATGAAAATAAATAAATCTTACCGGTCTGAAGCCTTCTGGGGTAACTGGCCGAAGAAAAAAATACCCCCCTCTCGGAGGTCCCCCGCCAATGCAGGCTTTCCCAGGGTGAACCAGGCCTACCAGGGGAGGGTTTCCCCTGGTAGGTCTGGTCTACTCCCCGGGAAAGCCTGGCAGACCTAGGGTTGCCAGATACACAGGTACTAAAAGGAGGACATAGAAAGACAAAAAGGTGGACAAAGGAGGACATATTGAATGTTTCATTTGAATCATTCTAGATTAAACCCACAATCAATACAATTTTACTACAATAGCTGCCAATCAATGTCTTTTAGTGAACTGACCAAGAAACAGTCATGTTAAAAATTAAAAATAAATTCAATGGAGGCTTTTTTTTCAAAATACCGGGGTGGGCGGGCAGGTGGGGGTGGGGAAAGTCAGGGGGAAGAGGATCTTTCCACCTCTCCCCTTCCCATCCAAAATTATAACAAAATATACAAAAGCCTGACATTTTAAAGGTCTTTATCTTTGCCTGCCTGACAGAGGACATTAGGCTTAAAAGGAGGACATGTCCTCCTTTTGCCTGACATCTGGCAACCCTAGGTAGACCGGGCCTACCAGGGGAGGGCTTCCCCTGGTAGGCCTAGTCTACCAGGCTTTCCCGGGGAGTAGACTGGGCCTACTGGTGAAGCCCTCCCCTGGTAGGACCGGTTCACCCTGAGAAAGCCGCCAGCGGCGGCGGAAGACGACCTCTGAGAGGCCTCCCCTGGAAGGCCTCCGGAGGTCCCCTTCGCCACCAATCATGCCTCCGGAGAAGCTCCACCACCATGGGAGGCATCTCAGAGGTTCCCCCCCCCACTGCCGATCATGCCTCCGAAGCACGATCAGTGGTGGGAAGACTTCCAAGATGCCTCCCATGGGGGTGGAGAAGCCCTGGAAGGCATCCGGAGTCACTATCGGCAGCCTACGGACCGGAAGGGGGAGGTGGGGAAAGCACCAAATTTGAATTTGGTGCTTTCCCCGCCTCCCCCTTCTGGTCCGTAGCTCAATTCTCCGGCCGCAAGTCAAAGTAAAATTTTGCAGCCAGAGAAGTTTGCAGTTCGAAAAGTCTGCAGGTGGAGCCCTTCATGTGTCGAGGTTCCACTGTAGTTTCCAGC